TATTCCAGGAGAGGTTTTGGGGAGTTTGGTGCTAAAATGCAGAGCACCTACCTCACCCCCAACCTGAAACAGAAGCATCCAGGAATGTGGATCAGTGCTGCCTCCTCAGATCAGCCGCACCATCCCAAACAGACGCTTCTTCACACCTGTGCATCAGCAGGAGGGAGTGGCCAGTTTTGATCATCTGTACAAAATACATCAGCTCTTATGTCGGTTTTGGGGAGTTTGGTGCTAAAATGCAGAGCACCTACCTCACCCCCAACCTGAAACAGAAGCATCCAGGAATGTGGATCAGTGCTGCCTCCTCAGATCAGCCGCACCATCCCAAACAGACGCTTCTTCACACCTGTGCATCAGCAGGAGGGAGTGGCCAGTTTTGATCATCTGTACAAAATACATCAGCTCTTATGTCTGGATCAAAACCAACACTCCAAGTTTCCAAGCCACTTATGCCACATTCCTGAGAAAGGGGAAAGCACGTCCCACTCCCTTTGGGCACGACACACCAGCTCCTTTATGGTATCCCAGTGCACTGAGTTTGTAACAGCCTCCTCCTGCCTCACACAGCTCTGTGTTTCCCCGCGTTGCAGGAAGCTGCAGCCCCAGGCACCTACCAGCTGGAGTAGCTGCGCCGCACAGAGATGGACCTTCCACCCTTGTGCACGACAGGACACACCCTTCTGGTTGGCAATCTCCTGCAGCATGGCCTTCTTCTCTTCTGTCACCAGGAAACACAAACACATGGTACTCAGATTTCAGGAGATGGCCAGGCTTCTCCTCAAACAACATCACTAACCCAAATCCTGCTCTCCCTATGTCCTAATAACAAGGAGCAAAGTTTTGATTTAGACAGGAAAATGGCTTTCCATCTGCCACGTAACTGACTGCTGCACTCACGAACAGGTGACCTGTATTTCCAGAAAAATTATATTATCATCCATTTTCTCCTCATTTAAAGAATGCCTGGTGTTTCAAACACCCTTACGCTTGTTACGCCTAAGCGTCCATCTCGCACTGCTTCTACTCCCTCCTCAACGCATTCACAGCTGTGAAAGCCAGAGCTGCTTAAAAATTCTAAGCTACTAGCTAGAAAGTCTAAAAACCGGTATAAAACCAGTATCTGATCTCTACGTTGCTCATATTAGGGAAAAAAAACCTTTCAAAGTCCATTTGTTAGTCGACAAGACTTATTACACCGAATCTAGAATGTGATTGAGCTGGCGAGTGTTAGGTAGTAAATGAGCAAACTCAGCTGCAGCTTCTCAACACAGCATCACTTCTGCAAAGATCTTTCTTGGGCAAGTTCCCATCACTGTCTGTCACCAAATTCTCTATATACACACCAATCTTTCCTTTACAAAAATCATAGCTAAGTCCACAGTGTCCCCTCTCCTCCCCACCCTCCACTCGGGGCCCACCTTTGACGCGGACGTCGCTGTATCTCTGGAAGTGGTGGTAAGCAGCTTTCCAGGGGTTGCGATAATGACGGAGCAGTGTGATCGGCGGCCTGGGCCGCACCGGGACGTATCTGACACCTTCCTCATCTGCAAAAGGATTCAGGGAGAACTGCATTAGCATCACTGAGAAGTGAGAGCAGGAGATCAGCATGCACAGAAGTCCAGCAGCAGATCAGTAAGCACTGCCTCATGCAAAAATGTGTGTTGAGAAAGGTCATTTTCCCTGAACAGCACTATACAGAAAGTGGTGAGGAACAGATACTTGGATTCATACTACTCATAGTTAGGAAGTAAGAGAATGACAGAGTACCTGCTCTGAGAAACAAGCAGAAGAAAAAACACAGACACCTGAACAAGAAAAAAAGACACTAGAGATGACGTTACCTATATATTCTTTTGGAGGAGACTTTCGCTTCTCTGCCTTCACCAGCAAACTTTTGGCAGTGGATTTCTCATCATCAGTGCTGTTTGTTTCCATCATGTCCCCTTCTTCTGTGGAGATGACGTGCTGCTGCTTACGGGGCTTCTTCCTCGGGGAGGCACCAGGTGGCAAATCACTTGGAGGCATGGAAAGGTTGTTGGCCAGCAATGCCAAAGATGGAGACACAGTACTTGTAGTCAAAGGAGGGACTGCTGTGAGGAAGGAGAGAGAAGAATCCAAACTATCAGCAGAGTGAAGGTAACACACTGTTTGAACAGTACCTCCAGCAGTAGTTCCTGTTCTGGGGCACTGGAAGGAGTGTGAGGCATATGAGCACTTCAGCTCCTTGTGTCTAGAAGGCCAAATATTAAGCCAGCAGCAATTACTAGGACAAACCTATATGCTAAAGTCTTTACTGTCTCATTTACAAAGGCATAAAGAATGAGAGCAAAGCCAATTGTCCCTCAGTTGCTTCATATTTGAAGCTTATGTTAGTTTAATGCTACAAAAAGAGTCTATGCTAACATCTGTCTTGTGTTACTGTGAAAAAAGATACCTCTGTACGTACACCAGCACAGATCACCCTCACAGGAAGCAAGTCCCTTTCCTCTTGCAGTCCAAGTCATATGGAATCAAAGCAGGACTGCAGCACTCACGTCGCAGGAGTCTGTGCTGCCAAGCCCTCAGCACCCATCAGATCACTGCACCAACCAACACAGCTCTGGAGCTGGGCAGCAGCACAGCAGGGACTCTGAGGGAACACTCCCTGACACGTGGAGGGAAAAATCTTCATCAGCTGCGACTCAGGCCACAGCAAAATATGTCTGGGATGGGATCTCCTGACAGTTTGCCTCACCCACAATTGCCAGTAAGAGACAAAAGAACCATGAAGAGCTTAATACTATCTGCCTGTGCTCCAGAGACATCTGCAGCAAGCAGCTTCTTCCATCACAGCACAACATACAGCTGCAAGGTTTTATCACTGGTAAAAACAATTGAGACACAACTCTGATACTCATCAACTTCCTATCATTTTGTCACTATAGAGTGCCCAACCCGAGATCCATAACTGAATTTTACTTCGCATGTGATGTGATAGCAGCTATGGCCAAGCTGGGTAAGGCAGTATCATGAATATTGTTAAGTTCCAGAGAAAAATATCCATGAGTCATAGGAGGGCCCTAGGAAGTCTCACTCTGGTCACGAATTCTTCACATACAAGAAAGGTCATTGGACCTGAATAGCAGGATTTGTAAGCAAACTGAATTTAAGTGAACTGTTCCATAAATATATTGGTACCACTGCTGAGCATGTGCATGTTAAGCAAGAAATTCACAAACTCTTTTGGGGTTGGCTCATTTGAACATGAACAAAGTAGTCACGATAACAAGCGATTTCCTGAGAGATTAGGGAGAAGGCAAAGAACAACTAGGTGAATAACAAGGCATATGGGAATCCTAGTGTTCTGTGCTACTGTGGAAGAGATGCAATTCCATTTTCAGGTGGAAGTGTTGAAATCCTCCTAATTTCTCCACTGTCTCAAGAACAAAAGCAGCAACTGATGAGTAACGGACACCTACCAGATACTGGTCGCATGATGTCCATGGGCTCCACCTCCTCCTTGATTTTGATCTCTGGCACTGCAGGGCCCAGCACTGCAGACAGGGCTCCACTCATGGTGGATGCAGGAGCAGGTGCTGCCACGATGGCAGTGGAGGTTGGTGGAGCAGCTGGGACAGCCCCTGGAATGGTGGACAGTGCTGCTGCAGGCTGGGAGGTGGGACTGGCTGCAGCGATGATGGTTGGAATGGCAGAGGGAGGCTGCTGGGAGGTCGGGGGCACTGCAATGGTGGGCTGCTCACTGCCTTGGTTAGACACTGCCTCCATAGACACAGGGACTGGAGTGGCCATGGACACATGAATTTCAGGCTTTGGCTTGGCACTGTAACACACATGAAAGCAAAACAAAGTGAGATGAACTGCATCTCGGTTCATGAGGACCAGCACAAAGCAAACGAGCCAACCTGGAGTCACACTATCCAGTTTTTCCTGCACCCACGAGGCTGTGACGTGTTTAACAACAGGAGAAGGCTTCATCTCAACTACATTTCCTCCTCCAGTCCTTTTCTAATCCTTTGTTACAGATACGTTTTTCCAGTTGCCATAAGAAGCAGATCTCATTACTAATTCCAAGTCACTTCAAAATACTTGTAAAAGGCTGAAGATTGTTTAACAATGCAGCCAAGAGGAACTTCACCCAACGCTGTACTGTTCCCATCGTGTTTGCAAGAGCTCCCACTGTGGCTAATAGTTATAAAGCAACAAATTGTAAAGCCACTGAACTCAACTGAAGCAGGGCAGGAGCTCCATTTACCTTCCCTCAGCATTAATTGCCAAGTACTTTAGAAAAGAGTTTCAAGGCCTATCCCCTCACAACAGCAGAGGGGTTTGTTTCTGTGAAAGCTAATCAACACAGCTTTTAAAGGCCACTGCCTCAACTTCACGGCAGCACAACTAGTCAGAGCTAGCTATCAAAATAATTGTTTCCCCAAAGAAAGGAAAATGCTCCAGTAGCCAAAGAACACAACCCAAACAAATACAATGACACTATTCTGATGCAGTTGGTTGTTTCCTCAAGTCTTACCCAGCAGGTCTTGGTGATCCAGATGTGCTTCGCATAGTGCTCTCCACACGTGTGCTGGTCACCTCCGGTGGCTGAGGGGGAATTAAGCTTTTCCGGACTGCCAGCCTGTAAGAGACACACACATCTAGGATTCCCACCTCCCTGGTGCAAAGACAAATACCCCTGTCAGCAGAGCAATCAGCCCACCCTTACACAAACCAGGACAGGAGCTATAGCTCCTGGAACGTTTCGGTTAAGGTTAGGGTTAGCCGTTAGGGTTAATCTCTGCTTTGTCTCCAGTGTAACAGATTTGCTACACAAGGAGTCTCATTTTAATTTTCAAAGTAGGTATTATGTTTTCTTCTAAGATAAAAGATTAGTTGCTCTGGCCTGGTCTCACCCCATGTAGGACTTCTCCAAGAACACCAGCTTTATTTTCATCCTGCCAGCCAGAGCACCTTGCTGAGCCTACCCAGCTCCAGCAGTGGACAAAGGCTCCAGCTGTGCCGCTGTCCAGCACTGCTGCTTCAGGGCTGTGCAAATCATCTGGAATTAAACAGTGCTCACAAGGCATCTGCTCCCCTCAGCTGGTCTAGACTGTGTCAGAGCCTGACTCCAGGACCTCAAACCCTGAGTGTGGATATTTGGCAGCACAAGGCTGATTAAAGTATTTTAGAGGCTGTTCAGTCTCTTGTGGGACTGGAAGTCAAATTGTTGTCTGAAATAATCAGCTATGAAATGGAAACATTATTTACTGATCTATCTCTGCTTCTTTAATTTCCTTGTTCACAGTTTTACAGCCTGCAGTTTCTCTGCCTTGAAAAACGTTTCCACCCAAATAAAAAAATATACAATTCTGGTCTCATAGGACACATCAGTTCCAATGTCTTTGGTCGTTAGTTGGGAAGAAATGTGTTGTTAATTCTAAAGTTGTCCCTTGCAGCTTTATTCAGGCATTTAAAATTAGGCAACATAAAATATTTTAAGAGTTTAGGTCACTCCCTCCCTTCTTCCTAATCAGATTTCACAGCAGGGTACTAATCCTATCCTTTCCACTCATCCACATATTCTTCCAAGAAAAGCACTGAAGATAAAGCATAGAATTCTAATTTTAGTAGATTATGAACTCTTTTTATAATACAAGAGCAAGAAAGCCTCAAATCTCCTTTCCCTCAAAAAGTCACTTTCAAGAGCTAGGAGACAAACTGTCCTTATTTTATTACTGACAGCATAGAAAATTATATTCTGCCCAGGGGGAGGGAAAGAAGTGTTTCACAGATCAGCAGGTTACTCACAACCACTGCTGACTGAGTGATCTGCTAGAACGTTCCTTATTCCCACTGAAAGGATTCCCTTTCTCCAGGCTGGATGTCACAGGAGTGTCACCTCCAGCCCTACTCACCCATCCGTGGCGGGTTTCTTGCGGAGGATGCTCGGGCGCGGGGAGGAGCCCTGGGCTGGCACGCTGGCACTGGCACTCTGGCTATGGGTTTGCACAACTGTGGTTGCTGCAGAAGCCGTGTTGAATGTGTTGCTAATAGGATTGGCCACAATGGTGGCTCCATCTGCCAAGACTACTGCTGGGAAGGATGGACGTGGACACAGCAGAGAGGAGAGCAGACACAGAGAGGAGAAAGCAGCATTTACGAAAGGAAATTCAATGACAAGGCAGGTGTTTGCAGAGCATATGCTGTCCATGCTCCCTGACTCCCTCAGTCTCTAACTGCGGTGCTTTCAACCTGTTTTGTAAGCAGAATCTTTGCCACAAGCAATTTGATCACTGAGCATTCTGCAGGGAAGATGCAAACTACCTCCTGCCTAACAACTGCTGCTAGGGAAATAATCTTTTCCAGAAGACATGGAAAATACAGAAATCACTAGGGAGATGACCAACACAGCTGGGTCAACAGACTAACGCTCCTGGTAGAGCCCACATGGCACTTCAAAGTAAGCTCCATCAGCTGTGTTTACCCTCTGACCTCCTGCCAGAGCCCGTTTGGCCAACTAAGGGACGCGGAGCATGTGAACAGCCAGGAAGTACCACGCGGTGTCTGCCAGCTGTGCAACAGCATATTCCCTCAGCTGCCATATCTGTTCCTGCAGTGAGTTGTTGGGGTTTCATCAGACCAATCATTTTTATTGGAAGATGGTTCCTATCATAGCCCAAGATCAGGTTACCAAGCACTGGAGGTACCTGGATGCACTCTAATCACTCCTGGGATTCTAATGCACAGACAGCACAGCTTGGAGAACACTGATCACCTGGAAGTTACTTTTCCCACAAGCCTTTACTGAAGGGAATTGCTTAAGCAGAGGCACTACCAGTCTTGTCCACTGAAGTAACCCATTCAAGGCTATCCAATATGCTTTACAAGTAATTCAGTTCAGCAATAGGTTAAAGATATGCACATGGATGTAGTCAGTGTCCACCTCTGGGCTATAGAGACCCTAAGAGGATCATCAAGGACAGTAAGAACCTACTGAGCCCCCCATGCAGGACAGCAGCTGAGCTGCTCTGCCCCAGCCCC